GTGGCTTTGCAGAGGTCATTTTAATCATTATGTATCTCAGCCTCTCCAGCTGTCCGATGGAGATAATATTCACTTACCTCACAGGAGTCTGGTGAGAATTAATTTTAATCTTTGGCAAGCACCTGTCTGATTACAGTGGCGGCTGATTATTGTTGCAGTTCATTAGATGAGCAGTAATGACCATCTAGTGGAATCCGAACTAGATTTTAATTTCCCAAGCCCTAAGAATGCAAATAAGCCAGTAACGTCACGTTACCATCCTCCAGTTCAGTAGAAAGTAACAGAGTGTATAAAGCACTTGGAGAGGTCAGTGGCTGGCAACCAAATGCAATGAACTCTTTGCAGTTTGAGACATCACCCCCATGCCTATAAACTGGTGAAATGTAGCCATTGACTGGCTGACACCTGAAATGGTTCCTTCTGAAAGCAGCTAGAAGTAGAGCTCCCAGGAGGGGAGGGGTATTGTTAGTTAGTCCTAAGCAACATGCAGGAGACAGTACAAAAAGTAACTGTGGTTGAGCCATCAAGAGACAGTGGCCATCTTATAACTGACTCGGTGCATCCTGGTACTCCCCATCTGTCTGTCTTTATCCTTCTGTTTAAAACCCTTATATGTGGCACGGATGCTGCTTTCAGGAAGCAATAATAGAGTCTCAGAAAGCATGCATTCCTCAGAACACAAAGGGGCCAGGATGGCAAGGAATACACCAATGGGGCTAAATGGTAAAGGCCAAGAGGTTACTCAAACCAAACAGAGATCCTTTAGAAAATGGAAATCCAGCCTTAGTCGAGTCAGTGAATAGGAGTGTAGAAGATGGCTGGCAGTACATGAGGAGGAAGTAAGAAGGCTAAAGAGGGATTTGAAGAGCAAACTGTTAAAGGCATAAAACCAAGCAAGAAGAAATGCTGTGATTGTATCAGAAGCAGGAAAACTCTACAACAATGGTGGGCATCCTGCGGCCCACAGGCTGCATGTGGCCCGTTATGGTTCTGTGTGTGGCTCGCGAGACTCTTTTTTGTTACAGTTGCCCACATACAGGGTTGTCAGATTTCCCTGGTTTCCATTCACATCAGTTTTTTTCCTACTGGTGTTACTAAAGGGACCTGCACGTAAAGCAAAGGCACATGAAGTGAGGTGCATGCTGATTGCACACGTTGACTGTGAGAGCCGTGCGCTCCCTCTGCAACCAAAGTGCAGCTATGGTTCACCCAGCTCACCCCGTAAATTCTAGGTACAGACACACAGTTAGCCAAACTACCCTGTCCCAGGAGACTGTCTTGGTTACAACAATCTTGCGGCCCACTGAGATGAAGGAGGGCCACTCATGTGGCCCATTCACTAGCCTAAAAAAAATGAGGAATCCCGTGGCATCTTAGCAACTGACATTTATTTGGGCATAAAGCTTTCGTAGGCAAAAACCCACGTCATCAGGCGCAGCCTTGTAATAAGATGCATCTGATGAAGTGTGGGGTTTTTTGCCCATGAAAGTTTATACCCAAATAAATCAATTAGCCTTTAAGGTGCCACGGGACTCCTCGTTGTTTTTTGCGGACACAGACTAATGCAGCCACGCCTCTGATGCTTGTCACTAGCATAGGTTGCCCATTGCTTCTTGGCAACAAGCAGTGATTTCACTGGGCCCCCAAGGGAGCCATTAAAGAATATAAGGATATTGCTCGAATCTAAATGATTCTCCAGAACAAATGATGCTGGAAACAACTCTTTCCTGGAAACAAAAATAAGGCCTTTCCATC